TTCTATAGGTAGACACGTACAAATAAAAGATGAACTTACTGTGGAAATCCTGCTAGTTTCCTACACGGTGTCTATTCGCCCTTCTTCCTGGTATTCCTATGATGCGAATGTTGTTGCGCTTGATCTTGTCCCACAGGTCTCTTAAACTACTTTCATTGCGTTTTATTCTTTTTCCTTTTTGTTGTTCCAAGTGGGTGATTTCTGCTATTTTGTCTTCTATATCACTGTTCCGATCCTCTGCTTCATCTAATCTACGGGTGATAACTTCGAGTGTGTTCTTCATTTCAGTTATTGTATTCTTTAATTCTGACTGGTTATATTTTATGGTTTTTCTATCCTTCTTTATGTTTGCTATCTCTTTGCTGAGATTCTCACTAAGTTCCTTGAACATTCTTATCATCAGTGTTCTAAACTCTGTCTCTGAAAGGTTGGGTATCTCTGTTTCATTTAGCTCCATTTCTAGAGGTTCCTTCTGATCTTTTATTTGGGACATGTTTCTTTGTTTCCTCATTCTGGCTGTCGCTCTGTGATTGCTTCGATGTATTTGGTAGATCACTACATCTCTCAGTCTTTGCTGGGTGGACTTAAGTGGTGTGTGTCCTTTATATTCAGATTGCAGTCTCTGTATTCTCCTGTTCCATGTGTTCCAGAGATATCGCTGTTGAAGTTGATCTTTAATTGCTTTTGGCTTGTCAGACGGTAGGATCGGCCCTCAGACTGATTAGCTGGGAGAATTAGCTCTGTTCTCTCCCTCCTTCCTTAAGCAGCCCATTTTGTTCACGGCAGCCCTGGGCTCAGTTAAATATACTCGCTTCTCCCAATTCCCCTACTCTGGGTCCCCTTGCTTTGCTTTATTTTTCTCCACAGCACTATTTCAGTTGTATAACTGTTTTCTAGCCCATTTTCCTACATGCAGCTCGTGTCAGTTCTTCATCACAATATCCTAGCACCCAGCACAGAGGCCTGCACACACCAAGCCCGTGCTCGGTGACAGGCGTGAAGAAATGAGTGGGACCCAGTGGGGTGTGATGGACAGGGCTTCTAGGAAAGCTTTCTGAAGCACGTGCCTGTGGCCTGTTTCCCTCTTACCTTCCTCCCTTCACTCTGCTTCTCCTTCCCACCTGGAAGATGCAGCAGCCACTTTAAAACCAGGAGGACAAAACAAACAAAAGCAAACACAGTCTGGGTTCCTGTGGGCTTACCCGAGCCCCAGTGCCAATCATGGCACAAGGATGTACCTCATGAACCTTGGGTTTGTTTACGCCACGTTTTCTGTTATCTGTAGCTCAACTCGTTCCTAATACATAGAGTTAAAGATATATCCGGAAAAAAAAAAAAAGAAAAAAAGCCTTGCTTTCTAGACAATTCTTAGACTAACTGGTGAGTAACAAGAAATTTAACTAATGTTCACCTTTCAGCCAGTTGACATAAATCCAGGACTGGTGGAATGAAGTAAGTAGTCTCATCAATAGCCAACGTAAATAGATGCAATATTTATTATATTTTCAGTGAAAGCATATGAAGATTGTCAGAAAATAAGGATGAATGGGGCTTTTGTCAAACTGGTGGGGGTTGGGTCTGTTACCTATCTGTCTGTCTGTCTATCTATCCATCTACCTATCCTGCAGGTCACGCACAGCTACAGGCCAAATACTGCCCTAGCAGCCCCACTTGGCAGGGTCTCCAGGAGCAGTGATGTCAGGTATATTAGGCTTCTCACTGCTCACCTCACCTACCAAAGGCCCACCTCCTCTGTCATTTCCAGTCAGAGCTATAGTCCTATAATGGAAGACTTCATACCTGTTAAATGTTAAGTACTTCTGGGAGAGGTGACACCTTTTTCAGAAATCATACACTTACATCATAATTAATGCCTGATACCCCCCTTAGAACAGGATTTAACTGGGGGAGAAGGGAAGAGAGAAGGTGTGCCCAGGCCCCTTGCCCAGGGGTTGGGGGCGGGGGACGGCTGTGGGTCTGCAGGGAAGGAACCACAGGGTTAACCCCTCCACTGCAACCTGGCCCATTTCCATCTCTGCCTCTGCTTCTGGGCGGGAACCTGCAGGATTTGCCCACTTTTGTTTACTGAGTTTGCTTCCCTTTTGAATAAAAAGCAGAAGAAAACTTCTGCCCATAAAACAACACTGCTGACTTAGAAGAGTATTTTGGTTGGCAGACACGAATTAACCAGATACAATCAACTGGCTTGCCAGGTCATCACCCAGGGCTTGCAAAGCTGTTGTAAGCATTTTGAGCCGAAGAATAGCAGGACTTTGCATTTCAAAATATTTGCATTTTCAAGTACACAAATACAAATAATTCAATATAAACATGGTATCAAAACTACTCAGATTATAATGTGACCTAGAGCATCCCAGAGTGATACCTTGATCTTTTCAGAAAAATGTTTTTGGAAGATTTAACCTAAAATAATTATCAATTTAAGAATGAGTACCACCATTTTGCAAGTCGCAGTAAAAACTGATTCAGCCAAGAGTCATTAGAGAAATCTAAAACCATTAGTAAGAGTTTGATGAGAAACAAGATATAGATAGTCATATTATCTATCCAGAGAATATTTAATTGCAAAGGGAAAACTGTAACTTTCCAGAAGAAAACAGTCAGACATCACCTTATTAAATGATCAAAATTAATATCACCAATAATAGGGCAAACTGTTATCATGATGCAATGCACTGAGGAGAACACATCAAAAATGCATTTCCTGCATCTTGAAAAAGAACCCAGATTGAGAAATATTTCATAAAACAACTAGACCACACTCTTAAAAAATTACCAATATCATAAAAGACAAAGAAAGGCCAAGAAATCCTTTCAGATTAAATGTGACAAGAGACATGACATGTAAATGCAATGAATGGTTTTTTAAAGTGCTGGATTGAAAAAAAAAAGTACTATAGTAGACATTACTGGGACAATTAAAGAAACTTGAATATGAACTGCATGTTAGGAAAGTCAGCATTAAAATTCCTCTATTTGATAATTATACTGTGGTTCTGTAAGAGAACGACCTTGTCCTTAGGAGATATATATTGAATTATTTTAGTTAGGGGTGAGTACCATGATATCTGCAACTTACTCTCATAACTCAGCAATAATAATAATTAGTGATATTATATGAGAGAGACAAAGAACATAGGTGAGAAAGTATGCAAATTGGTGAGTCTAAATAAAATTTATATGGGAGTTCACTGTACAATTCTTGCAACTTTTCCGTAAGATTAAATTTTTTTCAAATTTTTTAACGTAAAAATAAAAAGGAGTTCCACAATTTTCAAAAGCTATTAATAGAAAAATGAAGGACAAAAATGTATTAAAACTTACAAACACCTAAGTTTAAGTAAACCACTTAAAAGAACAGAAACAAAATGGCAGTATTACAGATGAAGAAGTTAGGGTGGTCAACAGCCTTTGTATATGTGTGTTTTCAGTTTTTTTTGTTAACCTCAGAGGAGGCTGTCAGTCTCTGTCCTACCCACAAGAGTCATGCCATATTTTACTAAGTGAAGGATATAAACACAGAAAGAATGACTACCCACAATTGAAGGGAAGAAGAAATGCCCAGCCTAAGATTAGTACAACTTTGGTGAGTCACTTCCTCTTAGGAGGACAGGCAAACATCTCTCGTGTCCTGAAGGATTCGGAGATTGTGAGAGAACACCTGAGGTCTCAGTCTGAATCACAGCATATAGGTAGCAAACTAGGTCAGGCGAACCTACATCCCATTCACTACATACTTCTGCCCAGGTTCGGTTCAACATCACCATGGTACCTCCAATTTCAAAATCAATGTCAAGTCAAATCTCTTGGCTTTTTCAGCCTCCACATTATTAAGGGGCTGGGCAGATATATGCAACCAAAACAAGGGACATTCATGTTAACCGCACACTTATCCTCTAACCTTGAGTGGGCAATGGCCTTGCTTTTCTTTTGCTCATCACCCCCATCGTTGCTCGATCCTGAAGCAAATCGGCTTCGCCTCTTAAATTGAGGGCTGAAGGCTTGGCAGAGCTGCCTTCCCTCCTTGAAGCCGCCTCTGCGCCCACAGCACACACACGTGGACGGATTAAGGGAGGCTGTGCTGTGAAGCGCACACACGCTCTCCCAACGTGTGCTTTTCATTCCAGAAATACTTGATTCCTAAACCACTTCTATGCCTCTCTTGGCATGAAACAGGATAAGCGGCCCTGTGCCAAAGGAAGTGTCTGTTTAAACATGTGGACTTTCTTAAAATTTCTTTACCTCAGAAGATCATAAACAGAACATTCTGGCATAATTACGATGGAATAAAGTAGAAAAGGAAAAGGTTATAGAAAAAGAGGGGGGAAAAAAACAAACAAACACTTGCTTTGTTTTTGTTTTGTAAAGTTGCCTAAAAGAAATACTGGAAATACAAGATATAACATAGAATTATCTACCATGAGAGTGAAAATGACAGGGTCCACGTTAGGAAAAGAAAGCCAAAATATTACCTTTAACAGGAAAGGTTAGTTAAGTGTTTGCCATCTTCTGACACAAGCATTTAGTCCTGTTTTAAGGTCACCCACCAAAGCAAAATGCAGAGGAGGGTATTTAAGTCATTGTTTTATTCTGAAATGTATTTTATTTTTGTGCCTGGCTTCTTTATGACTTTCATCGCATATCAAAAGTGAACATGAAAGAAGGAAGCCCATTTTGGTTGACTGAACTGCCCTTTCCCTCTCTCCACGCTCACTTCCAGGCATATTTATTTAGGGTTCGCTCACAATAAGCAGTGTGAAGTCAGTAACTCTTCGCAGAATCATCAGGCATCACCAATAGTATTATATATAACTGGATACACACTCTTATCCACTTAGATATATACGCACGCCACACATGAGGAAAATAACATCAAGCACCACATACATACCACGATCACCCCTTTGACTTCCATCAGGATAGACCTAAAAGACACCTTCTTAGAAATTCTGATCCTGGGCAAAGGGAGGGAAACTTACTTTCTTTCCACTTCTGGTGTTGACACGGCGCTACAGAAGCCCAGAGACTCCTAGGAGAGAAAATTCACAGCGTCAGTACAGGCAGAGCAGCAGGTTTCATCTGATGTGTTCAGAATATCACTTTAAAAAGAAAACAGGCAGAAGCAAAAATAGATGATTAAAGTCATTGTGCTTACTTCGATCTGGGACCGCAGCTGAAGTGACGTGGGGCTGGCATCGGGTTTCTCCTAAAACAGAACAGATGCTGGTTTAACGAGGCTTCCAAACGTGGCATACACCAGAAAGACAAATAGATATGTAAGAAGAGATGGGGGAATCTGGGAAACGCTAGGGTACAGTGGGAGGAGATGGTGGAGATAAACAGATTTTTCTGGAAAAGCTAAAGTGTCTTTTCAATGAGAGCTCTAGTCTCTTAACATTGGACTGTTCTCCGAACTTCACCACTTGATGCTACTGACAATTTATTACAGAAGAAACAACTCCAATCTAATTGACGGATACTGACAGTTAATGGTGAAGTAATTCTCTAGATGTGATTAGACCGTGACTAGGACATAGAATTTACAGTGTTACATAGACTCATGTGTGTTCAGTTTCTTTTCCAATAATGGTGGCGTTCCAATCTGATTTTAAAGTTCTAAACGCACTCAGGCTATTCAGTAATGTAGGGCTAGGTGCAAGTGTCTTTAGGAAAGTGGACAGTAAGTTATAGTGGTAAACAGAGCACAGAGCACCACACCTATTTTTTCATGAGAAAAATTCTAACTCTAAATGGTGCTAAAGTGGGGGTCCTCATCAAAGTGTGGTCCACAGTCCAGGGGTGTCCCCCTCGCCCCATCTCCCATCATCAACTGGTAAGCAAGACGTTGGGCAGTTTTAGAGGATGAGGTAACATCACTCATATTATACACATCTGAAATATCAGATTAATTGAGTTTTCCAATAATCAGACTGTGTTGTTATATTCTTCAGGATTGCACATGTATGTAGGAAGCTTGTTTTGTTCGTCTCAGCGAACATTCGGAAAAGGGGAACATGATCATCTCAAATTATGAATTCTCACTTGCAACTAATTATTCAATGTATTAAAGCTGCCTGTTCCACCATTAGCACGATTATAAAACTAAACCAATGTTTTAAAAACTTAGCAAGGAAATATTCAAATAATTATAACAGAATAAATGCATAAGTGTAAATAGGTAATAGGAATCCAGTATAAATATAGACCACGAAATGAATGTGCTGGGGTGAGTCAATCTGAGAATGGGATGATTTTGGACAAGGCTGAAAGAGAAAAGTGTTTACATGGACTGGCAACACCTCACCCCTGATCCCAGGGCCTTATTTGTTATGAAAAAATAGAGTGGCATGAAGCCCCGTAGAATTTCTCTATGGTTAACATCCTGGTTTTTATTGCCAACTTTGTGTATTACAGGACAAATTTATATTTCTTTCCCAAACTTGATACACCATTTTTCAAAAACAATGTATGGGAATGTTCGAGTTACATCCAATTCTAATTGATATGGCGTCAGACTCAGGTGTCATCAATAAAAGGGATATGGATTTCGGAGGTTCCTGGCATGTGGACCAATCATGACACCCTGATGGCTAACTGCTTAGCATCTCATGAAGAAATTTACAGACTTAAAGAGCAGGAGGTAAACAAAGGGATAGTCTGCAAGTTTTTCCCCTTAAATCAGTATAGAAGCCTCAGAATGATGAGAGAATCTGTTAGCTCCTGACATTGTCTCTGAAATCATCCCTTTAACATCCAACTCTACTCCATGTCCTTCCATAACCATCCAAAATAAAACAAAGCCTGATTCGCCTCTCTCTCCCTCTTCAGTTCTTAACTTCCCTTCAAACTCGAAGTCTCTACCTCACTAGGTAACAGTCCATGATAGGGCATTTTCTGCTAGTGTTGTATATGTTATCTGCATTTTTCTAATAAATTTATTTATGGAGAACATCGTTTGGCACTCAATATCATAAACACACTACTTATGGTGTATTCTACACAATGTACCTATTCCTACACACAAAGCAGCTGCTTGTTCATAACCATGTTAAGTGATGATCAGGAAGTAACATTCTAAACAATTCATCTTCACAGGTTACTTATAATAGACATTTAACTGTGTTTTAGTTACTTTTTAAGAAATTGCTGGGGGTGTAGTTTGATATATAATATATTGAAACTCGTCCTTTAAAATAATGGACCCAGCTAATGTTTCCATGTAGAACATCTGTTTTATCAGAAACAGGAAACGTTAAACAGGAGAGCTGGCACAGTGATGTGTCCGTTTTTTGTTTTTTTTCCAGAACATATCACAAAATAATGTTTTTCAGAGCAAATATTAATTTCATCTCTTAAGACGATCATCATTAAGAAGCATTTCTTAGCGCAAACACATCCTACAGTAAAAATACTACACAAATTAGAAGAAGCTTCTAAAATTACCCACTAAGTTGAGGACCTATCTGATGCTTGAAGAGAGAACAGAATGGACTATTGGCAGTATTCCATTATTATGTGACATTGATGGATGTCAGATGATATCAATGACAAACGTGCAGAGGATTACTAATTACAATCATGCATGTCTGAATATGAGATGTTTAAGACATAAAAATATCTAATAAAAAATACAGCAAACGCTTGAGAACCCAACATCGAGCCTGAGAAATTACAAAGAGTTAAAGCTAGCAGGTGTTCTGACATACACTTGGACAAAACACCTGTGTGCAGAGTATGAAACAAGTGTTGGTAGAATTGACATATATATATATATATATATATATATATATATA